TAGCCTTGCCCCACCTAGCCTTACACATCACTTACACACACCTCTCTAAGGCTGACTTAGGTCTTCCTCCTCTGTTTCCCCCACACTCTATCCACCTAAGGTGATCTTCAGAGGCCGTCCTCCCGTTTTGTGTTGTCTCCCTCCCTGGCCAGACTCCAGCTGAGGGCCTTGAGAACACACTGCACCTATCGTCACATCGTGGGTCTCAGAAGATAGGCCCAGGAACAGCAGACTGCTCGGGGGTGTGGGCGGGAGGGTGGGGGAGGCTGAGCGCAGCAGGCCTTTGAGTCAGTAAACTGAGTGCTCTGTGTTTACCCCACAAGGAAGGTGGGTTCCACCACAGCCCCCGGATTAATCCAAGGCTTCCTGTTCCGGTTCACCTTATCTTGATGAAGAGAGCAATTTGTTTTACATCTTTTGTACGAGCAAGTAGAACCGTGTGGGGGTGGTGGTTTTCTGATTACAATCCATTAAGGCTAAGCTGTGATTTCTAAAGCTCTTTCATTTGTGACATGAGCCAAACCCACACCCAATTTCCTCTCGCATAGAAAGCAGCATGCTACTCTTATGAAAATGATTTTTTTAATTATGTTATTTTAAGCAGAAGCATAACCGAAAATGCATATTGAGCAAAACAGAATACTCCAGTTGGCACACAAAAAAGCGGGCTTTTGAGAAAGGCGAGCAAGAGCCCACATTGGGGCCTGGATCATTTTAACCGTTTCCAGCCTGGTTTCCCGGCCGACTTTGCTTTTCCTCAGCTTTTTAAACACAACGGCAGAAGAGCTACTGGGCCCTGGCTTACCCGATTCCCCTCCCCCGGTTCTGAGTCTTCTCTTGCCAAGACACGTCTCAGCCTTGTCCACCCTGCCCCCCATGCCCCGGTTGTCATCCCTGAGGCCCATAATCTGTTCAGACCCTTCGGGTGTGAGGCCGGTCCCAAACAGTGAGCGGTTGCTCCCCATTATCTCATGCTCAAGACCTCAAAAGTGCCCCAAGGCCCCGAGAATCTAACAGCGCCCCCTCTTTACTGGTCCTTTATGATCTCCTTTCCCATCAGCACACAAAGGAGAAGTCCAACCTTCTTCTGTCCTTTCCCCCTTTCCACAGTACTCACTGTGGAGACAGAGACTGTTTGTGCCTAATGGAAACAAACTTTTTTTAAAGGTCCCAGGACCCCCGATAAACCAGCAAATGCAGTTTCTCCTTCCAGCAAGCCCCGTCTCTACCCAGCAACATGGACATTTGAATGGGCGCCCAGCAGTCCGCTGTTACCAGTCGATGTGGGAGCATTATCCTTCTATTTTTTATTTTTTTATTTTTTTATTTTTGGGGGGGGCAACATCCTCCTAAAAGAAGGTGCTGGTATATGTGAATATCCCTGGGTGGGCCCGTTAAGGAATCTTTCCATCTGTAAGGGGAGAGTGATGTCACCCACTGGAAGGTGGTTGTGAGCATGAGTGTACATATAATACCTGCACCCAAGGACTGGCATGTGACTGCCACAAGGCATTTAACTGGGATGTCTTGCAGGCACCTCAAACTCAAAATAGCCCCAAATAGAGCTCTTTGTGCCTCCACCGTGAACACACTCACCTGTGTGTGTCCCCCGTGTTCCCCACCTGAGTACGAGGATCGGTGCCTGCCACCCCCATGACACCTGATCCAGCCTATAGATGCCCGCGTGGCCCAGTGGTGAGCTTTCCACTTAGTTGGGGCATGGTGCCAGCCTTTGAGAAGGCCTTCCCTGAGCCGTGAGCCTCCAGCCACCCCATCGTGTGGCCCTGTTTTGACTGTAAACAGCACTCATCACTGTCACAAGTGCTCCTGTCTGTCTCTCCCTCCAGACCTGCAGCAGGGCCCGGTCTTGCTCCCCACCACCCGTTAGCATCTGGAATGGCACCTGGCACACGGCAGACGCCCTCCATCTATTCACCAAGGGAATGGAGTCCACGAACAGTGGCTGCTTCCATTATTACCACGAAAATTGGAGTTATGTTTTACATGAACTAAAATATATACGTATCAGGTTATTTATAGACTGGGTTAAAATGGATTGGAGGGATTTGGCAGCAACCCTACCGAAACAGGGACGCACGCATCGAGTCTTGGTTATTTTGTAATCTTGGAAGGCTGTAATGGAATCGACAGACTTACGGAACCCACGAGACCCCATCACTGGATCGGAAATCTGGCCCAGTCCTCCGAGTCTGAGCCCACACGAGTTCTCCTTGTTATGCCACAACCGTCTGATGCAATGAATTCAGAAATGGGCGCGTGTCTGCCCCGAACAATATGGGTAAAAGTCTCCACTCTGTCTGGGAGGGGACGAGAAAGCCTTCCCCCATTGTAGCTGCACAGGCCATGCTGTCGAGGAATACAGATCAGAGATTAAAAGAGAGGCTCGGTCCCTCTGATCCTCCTCGGCGTGGGCACCACAGGGCCCCTGCAGGACCTTGGAAGCCCCAGCTTGGTTTTCTGCACGATTCTGAATTATTTAAACTGCCTTCTCGCCTGCTGAGTTCTGTTTTCGCAATAGTGCACCCCCCCCACCCTTCTCTGAACATTCCCACAGACAAGGGGCTTAAAAGATGCTCATTACCTGCAATAGGACCGTGGTTACAGATTTTCAACCTCTGTGCTGGCCGGTGCTGGCCAGGGTAGATGACACAGTGGGTTAGTGAGCCCTCAGGTCCCCGACCGGGGACCCCCAGGAGGCACTTGGGTGTCAGGAGCAAGGCATAGAGGCAGAGCATCCCAGAAGAGGGAGGAAGGGGGAGGGGAGGCAGAATCCTAGTAGTTGGCCCTGTCGGTTCACAAATCAGTACTGGAAAACAGCAACCTCGGATGGCTTTTAGTAAAGCCTTTCTTTGTACACGTGGGTTCCCGCCAATGCGTGTGAGGGACCCTCTACTGTGGTGGCATCAAGCACTTTCTATATTCTACTCCAGAGATGCAGAGGAAAATGAATGTTCCCTTCAGGAATTTGCATTCAAGCAGAAAACACAGGAGCACGTAATGATGGGACACCGGGGTTTACCCAGTGGTAGACGCAGGTCTGAGTAGCTTCCAGACACACATCCTGGCTCAGACCCCTCTTCACGATTCCCTGGTTGCCATCTGGATGTCCCAAAGGCGTGTCAGGCTGAACACACTCAAGGTCACACTCATGCGCTGTCCTCCCTGTCTCCCCTATTTGTCATCTCAAGGAATGGCATCTCCACGGGGCCCCTCTTGATACCTCCCTCTCCCTCCCCTCCTTATTTCACACTCACTCCCTGTCATGTGGCCTCCAGAAGGCCTCTCAGGTCCGTCCTCTTTCCACCCCACTGTCATCACCTTGATCCCAGCCCTTGTCGCCTCTCATCTCGGCCTCTGGTCGGGCCTCCCCTACCTGCTCGGGGCCCCTCCAGTGTATTCTTTCACAGATTGGTCAAGTGACACCACTGCCCTTTCCTCACGCCCCACCCCCCAACACGCACGTGTGTCCATGTGCATACACTCACACAGCCTTAAACACGTCACCATCTCTCCATGGCTCCCTGTTGTATTTAGGATCAAACCAGGACTTACTTAGCACAGTGTGCAGACTTGGGGACCCCACCCACTCCTCCAGCCACACTCGCTTCCTTTTTTGATTTTGATACATTTTTTTTAAATTATGATTCAGGCCAGCTGACCTTTTTTTCTTTCGATTGACAGTTCTATGAATCCTAACACATGTTCTCATCTCCTTTTAATACCCTGACTACACTGTGCATCTTCCTGCCCCTTCATGACGACCTCTCCCTCTGCCAGCCCCCAGGAGACCAGGTCACTCATCCCGCAGAGCTCAGCTCCGACGTCCCTTCCTCAGAGATGGCTCCTCTGCCCGCCTCAACTGGGTCTTGTTCTGTGTCCTCATGGCACGAACTTTTCCTGCACAGCTGCTGAGTGGTGATGTAGATTCGCTAGTGTGGCTCTTGATCTAATGCCCCGGTGGTGAACCCCCACCCCCACCCCAGGAGGGGCACGTGTGGATTTGTGCTCGCCATCCTACCCCCAGTGCCCGGTACAGTGCTTGCCACTTAGTAGTAGGTGCTGAGCAAACACTTCCATGCATGAGTAAATGGGCAGGGAGGTGCTCAGCAAACACTTCGTGCATGAGTAAATGGGCAAGGCGTCGCCTGCATGGGAATGAGCAGCCCTGCAGTCAGGACTTGGGGGTGGTGGCTTAATGTGGTAGGGGAGCTGGTCTCCACATCAGACAGGCTTGTTCTGAATCCCTCCTTTACCTCTTTTTGTAGAATTTAACATCCTCTGAGCTGTGTTGGCTCACTTAATGAGCATAAAACCCAACAGCCTGTGGGCAGGATTAAATGAGCTAAACTGCATGAAAGTCTCTTAGTAGGTGCTCCAGAGTGGTAGACTGCATCCCGCCCTCGTGGGTGAGGGGAGGCCCTGCGCCAGAGGGGCTAAATGCTGCTCGAGATCCTAATACGTCGTCCTCGAAAACCTGCAAGGCCACAGACAAGTTCTCGTTCTGCTCAGGGACCATGTCCCCTTATGCCGCTCCATTTACTGAACACATGCTGTTTTGGAACCTCCTGCTTGCCCTGTGGTGCAGGCTCTGTGGAATGTGCCGGACCCCTGCCCTGGAAGCGCTGGGAGTCCACCGCGAAACAGGATGCTGAGCGTGGGCCCTGAGCTACCTTCAGTACGGCCTTGGGAGCAGGGAGCTGCCCGCCACCCTGGGGAAGGACCTTGTCCAGGAGGCCAGGCCGGCTTGGGACATGGCCCTGCGCCTCCCCCCAAGCGCCTCGCTCGCAAGTGGAGCCGAAGCCCGCCCACGGAGGTCCCCCCGGCCGGTGCAGGGGCTTCTGGGGTTGTCACCATGCGGTGCGCACCGCGTGGACGGGAGCCCCAGGTGCTCAGTGTCCTGGGGAGGGGGGAGGTGGTGAGAAAGCTGGCGGGTCCTGGAGGCTCGTCTCCGGTGCCAGGCTGACGCGGACAAGCAGAGGCGAGAACAGAGACTGGCAGGGGATCTGGGAGCCGCGGGAGATGCGGAGGGAGCACCGCGGGGCCGGAAAGGATGCTTCTGTGCCTCTCTGACCACAGCCTCTCTCTGCTCTCCCCCTTTTCCCCCGCAACCTGCATGCAGGAGCCTTTCTCCTGGGAGGGATCCTCTACTCGTGGCAGTTCCCCCACTTCAACGCCCTGAGCTGGGGCCTCCGCGAAGACTACTCCCGCGGCGGCTACTGCATGATGTCGGTCACGCACCCGGCCCTGTGCCGGCGCGTCGCCCTGCGCCACTGCCTGGCCTTGATCGGACTGGCGGCGGCGGCGCCCGTCCTCCAGGTCACCACGTGGACCTTCCCCGTCATCTCCCTCCCCATCAACCTGTACATTTCCTACCTCGGCTTCCGGTTCTACACGGACGCGGACCGGAAGAGCTCCCGGAAGCTGTTCTTCTGCAGCCTGTGGCACCTGCCCTTGCTTCTGCTGCTCATGCTCACCTGCAAGCGGCCCCCGGCTGCGGGCGGTGCGGGGGGAGAGCCTCGGACTTGAAATCCCCGGGGGCGCGTGGGGGGAAAAAAACAAAACCAAAAAACACGTACAGGGAGACGCACATTGTTTGTTTGTTTTTTTCCCCTTTGCGGTGAGACAATATTTTGGTAATTCTGGAGCTCCAGAATGGGAAATTGCTGGGTTTTAGTACAAGATCGTAAAATGATTTGGTGCTCAGTGATCGCCCGACGATTTTTTTTTTTTTTGAATGATAACGTCCAAAACGCTCCCCAAATAAGAAATAGGTTGGCTCAGGTGATGAATACAGAGAGAATCTTTTTCTCTTGAGGAGTCTTTATATATTTCTTCCTCCAACACCTCTGTTGTTTTTCTTCTTCCTCCTGTGGATGTACAAGTGTACCTCTTCCTTTTCTGGCCACACACACGCACACACACACTCCCCACCTGGCCAGACGCAGGGAGCACTGGGACTCTGTCTGTGGTCCTGTCCTCAGGTCCCTGGAGGGCCACGTCGGAGGCCATGCGCACTGGCCGCCCTCCCTGTGAATGAGCCAGGGGCCCCGGCTCCAGCTTTTTCTCACATATATTCTCAGCCACATATTCCCCCAAACAATAATAGAATACCAAGGATGCACTGCTGCCCGACTTTCGAAGGGAGAATTCCAAACGGTTGCCTAGGGGATCTCGAGCAGGACTGCCAGCCCCCGGCCCACCCCCATTACGTATCCGCATTTCAACAACTCCAAGGAATCAAAGGCATCTTTATAGTTCACTTGAAATACAGGAGGTGTCTGGAGCGTTTCCTTCTGGAAGGGTGGCGCTAGACTTCACACCCGCGGTCCATCTGCCTCTGACCCGTTACTGTCCCCCTCCGGCCCCTGCTGCCCACCAGGCAGGGAAAGCCCAAAAAAGGTGAGCCGGTCTAACCAGCCACATAGCTCACATTCTTGTCCCTTTGGTGAAAAACACAATTCTCTCCAGGTACCCTCTGAATTCAGAAATCAGCCCCCATACATCCAATGGCTGTAAGAGCCAGAGGCTTGGGCTGGACTCCTGGTGGGGGTGCATCCGGTTCCGGGAGTTGTTCTAGTTAACCTGTAGCCAGGTGTGGCCTCAGTCACCTGTGGTTCCTTCCATCCGTCCTTCACCTACGCCACTAGTCCACTGTTGAACCCCACTTGCCGGAAGGCCTTGATGCTTAACAGGATGTTTGCATTACTCCATCTCCAGGGCACTGTACTGCCCCGTAGGAACTCATTTCGGGGAGTTTAAGCAACAATCAGACGGTCCTGCAATGTGCCTGTTCTCAGAAATTTCTAAAGCGACTGCAGACACCATCTGACCCCTGTTTCTACTTATCTGCAATATTACCTCTTGGCTGTATCCAGGTTCTTGACTGTGGGGAACATGGCATAGGAATGTCTGCAAAGAATATCGACACCTTGTTGCAGCCTTCAAATTTGTAAAATGCCTCCATTCTCTTTTCCCGCCCCAATAAACCGGTATGTAAGAACAGAAGCGTGTGCGAGGTTCTTTCTTCAATCACCTTGTATGGAGTTTGCACCAGTCCTGGCAGACTTGCTAACGCTTGACTCACTTTTATGAGCTAGCGGACGATTAGAACGCAGTCAGCATTTCTGTGTCGAGGTGGTGGAAGTGAACCCACTGGATTTTTTTATTATTATTATTTTAGTGGGAGAGAAGGAAAGAGCAGGAGGAGGGGCAGAGGGAGAGAATCCCAAGCAGACTCCCGGCCCAGCATGGAGCCCGATGTGGGGCTCGATATCAAGACCCCGAGATCATGACCTGAGCCGAAATCAAGAGTCAGATGCTTAACCGACTGAGGCACCCAGGCGCCCCCACACTTGATTTTTAATACCTGTCCACTCCAAAGAATAATAAGCTTAATGATTATTAAGAATAAGAAGGGCCATGACCCACCCACCCTCACCCTCCCTTCAGTTTGGAATCCCCCAGTCTCTCCCTTCTTCCTTCAAAACCACCACAGAAATCATCCTCAGGGCCTCCTAGGCCTGTCATTCTCCTGCTCGGAAAATACCAACGGCTTGCGTACCATCCCCACCAGGCAAATGAAGTTCGAGCTTCTCAACACTCAGACCAAGTTTTCTCTCCGGGGATCTTCGATGTGAAGCCACCTCGAGGATTTCCCGCCATGCCTCACACCTCCCTGAGGACACCCTGTTCTCAGATAAACTCCCCCCCCACCTCCCCAAACCCCTGTCCCGTAGGTCACAGTGTGGAACGTGGATTTCAAGCTCCAGTGACTGGCCCCCCACCCCGCTGCCGTCCCCCAGGCCCCAGGATGTTGCTCACTCACCCGGAGGCCTGGGGCACCTCATTTCTTCACACCTGACCTTGACCACCTTTCCTAAGGACTCCGTGCTCCTCATCAGCATTACCCAGGTGAGTGAAGCCTGTTCTTTAATGGGGTGTCTTTGGGAAGTCTTGCCTATACAACAGCTCCCTTGGGGTGTCACTTAGGACATGCACGCAATATGGCCTCATGGGACCCAAAGTTAAGTAAAAAATTTAAAAAATCTCTGTTTGCTTCCCCTGGTACTTCCCAAGCCTACCCTTCCCAAGTGCAGGACCCTCCTCCCCGGGGATCGCCTCCCACCCCGCCCCTGAATTAGTGGTCAGGAGCACAGCCTGGGACATGCTCTCTGGACTAATCAGTTTTCATCCGGGTGCTTCAGGCCACTCGGCTGCAAGCACAGGACTAGGCCCCCAGGGGCCCTGACGGGGTAGGGGCCACACGGGCGGCGGGAGGGGCTTGAGATAGGAAATGGGGTTCCACTGGGAGGCTGATTATTCTAGAACACAGCAAACAAATGAAAGGGAAAAAGGGCACGTCCGGCCACTTCATTATTACATTTTTTTTTTTAAGATTTTTATTTATTTGAGAGAGAGAGAATGAGAGAGAGAGAGAACACATGAGAGGGGATAGGGTCAGAGGACGAAGCAG